AAGATAAAGGATGATCTTCTTGGATTTCAAGTAAGTCGAGTGTTAAATCCCGTAGCCTGGTCAACCGCCCCGTCTACGAAAGGGAATGTAAAATGTCGGCTATGTAAATCCATTCATTCTTTATACAATTGCTCTACGTATTTATCGCAATCCACTGAGCGGCGTAAACGCACTGTTTCTAAGTTCAATTTATACTTCAATTGCTTAGGAACCGCTAAATAATGCTCTAGGCCGTGTCGTTGTAGAAAATGTGGCAGCAAGCATCACACTTTTACTTTATATGATAATCGTAAGGCACAATCAAAATCAGAAAATCAAATTCGATTCGAATAATTTGCCAGTATCTCGTCTTCACTCCCTTCTACCTCGGAGCAGAAATGACGGAGATGAAATACTGAGCGGTATCCTTCGTTAACAACACAGAACAAATTGTCAGTCATCATCCACTTATCTTGTTCGCGACGTGTTGAGCTACGATCAAAGTCCGCGACGGCCGACTCGAACATATTCGGATTCTTTTGGATCCGGGATCTGAACTATCTTTTGTTATAGAGGATTTCATACAGGATTTCGTTAAGATTATCTCGAAAATCTGCGGCGATCCTATTAGTTGAGATTGGCGGGACTTATGCAGGACGCATCAAAGGCTCGATTAGTCTAGAATTCCATTCTACAGTTGACAATTCCGCCTCACGCTTACAAGTTTTTATCCTGCAGTTACTTTCAAAATATCGTCATTTGATCTCCCTCGCGCTTCCTGGGTATTTTATTTTCCTTTGTAATTTACAGTTCGCCGACTCAAACTTTGGAAAACCCGGAACGATTCAGGTGATTATTGGAACCGATTCGTATAATCAAATTATTAAGTCGGAATTAATTAAGGGATTCGTCGTCCTCGATTGCTCAGCTAACTATATTCGGGTGGATGGTATCGGGGCCCATTGGATAGCCTTCATTGCGGGATTTATCATTGTCAAATTGATTATAATCTATAAGATCTTTTAATGCATTTCTGGGAACAAGAGAAGATTCCCAAATCAAATTCGGTGACGTTGAGCCCTGATGACGCTAGTTGCGAAAGGCAATTTAGTTATACATGTTCTCGAGATCAAACCGGACGATATATAGTCCGACTCTCGCTAAAGTCTCCGGCAGTGTTGTTCAACATCTACAGCTCTTTATTTGTCACAACTCAAGAAACGGCTTGCAAATGAACTCTCCTACGGCAAACTATATACGGACTTTCTTCAAGAATATCTGTCTTTAGGACTCCGGTGATAGAATCCAACGCGAACGACCCCGTGTACTACCTGCCGCATCATGGAGTATTGCGTGAGAGTAGCCAATCAACGAGATTTCGAGTTTAACGGTTCAAATCCCTCCAGTAGGCGTATCATTGAATGATATCTTGCACATGGGTGCTAAGTTGCAAACGAATGTCTTCGACGTATTGGTTTCGATCGCATCAATATGTATTTTCATCGGATATCACATCAAAATGTATCAATAAATCCTTGTTCATCCAAATAATTGAAACTTACAGCGTATTTTTTGATACGATTCAAATGGTCAAGTACTCTCATCAACTGACAACAGTTACTTATGGGTTAAATTGTGCTTCCTTGCTCTTCGAGTGCTTCAACAACTCATCGATGATCGATTCCCTAAGGCCATATCATTGTTATCTAAAGGGTGGTATATTGACATCTTCGGAGACGCTGAATCAATAGAAAAAGCTAAGGAGATAATAATAATTCAAATATGGGAACTTTGCATGGCGAGCGGATTTCCGTTGCAAAAATAGCATAGTAATTGTCTAGATCTATTAGATCATCTGCCGTCTTCATCAAGTGGCAATGCTTCCGCAGTAGAGTTTGATTCCTCGCGTATCAAGGCCTTTGCTGACAATCGCAAGTTGATGTATTTAAATTTATATCCGTATTGTCCATTCCAAAATCTACGACAAAAAGATCCGTTCTATCTGAGATCGTGCAGTTATACGATCCTTTAGACTTCTAGCCTTCTTTCGCTCGTTCGGGCCAAAATCTTTATTCAGGATCTTTGGAAAGTTGAAATAGATTGGGATGATCCCTTGTCATCAGAGTTACAGGGTCGATAGTCTAATTTCAGACAACTACCAGCATTAAGTGAATTGGATCCTACACTCTACACTTCTGTTGCCGCGCGTTCAATAGAACTACACAGGTTTTCCGATGCTTCTCAACTCGCTGTGGCGGCGATAGTCTACATCCGAAACACGAGATCTCTCAAGTTAACATTTGTTCTAAGGTAAAAGTAAAAGTAGCGCCGTTAAAAAGGCTCATCAGACCGTATCTCGAGTTAAAGGCTTCGCTGATATTAGCGCGCCTTGTTTCTAATAGAACAGAGCATTTTGGATCTGAAAACTAATCAGATTTTCTTTTGAACGGATTCGTCAGATTTTCTTTTGAACGGATTCGTCAGTTGCTCTTATCTGGATTTCATCCCATCCAGCTAAAGGGAAGAAATACATGCGGAATCAAGTTACAACCATACATGATTCAGTATCTTCCGCTTTGTGTGTTCATGCCAGGTAAGGAAAATCCTGCCGACTGTGCTTCGAGGGGATTGAGCGCTCTTGAGATCATCGTTATGGTGACATGGGCCATCGTGGCTGAGTCAAGGATCTGTAAACGCGTCGCAACCGCTAGACGTTTTCGGCAATTATTCTCTGGCTCTGCCATAGGACCCATTACTCCAATCGAGTTTCATGAAAGTTGCTAATTTTGGGTATGCCAAATACAAGAATATTTCTTCAAACCGGAGATCCGAATATTAAGAAGGGGAGAATGCTCCAACCCTTTGATAAAACTTATGCCATTTATCGACGATATTGGGCTCATTAGAGTAGACGGGCGACAGAACTTAGAACCTGATGTTAAACATTCTCTGATTTTACCGAAAAAATCCTTGTTTACAATCCTGGTGATCGCGGAGACTCATTCCAAGACATTACACGGCGACACTTAAGTGACATTAACTTATATGCGTCTTGACATTAACTTATACGGAATTGGATTTTAGGAGGATGAGTTCCCATTTTATCCTTTATCTTGAAATGTATGAAATGCGCTAGATATTGTTAGAAGTGCACAATAGTTGATGGGTCAATTGTCAAAACCGAGAGTTTCTCTCTCTCATCCCTTTTTAAATTCCGGGGTTGATTATGCGAAACCGTAAAGACCTGGCGAGGACGGTCCTCAAAAATATAAAGGATACTTAATCATTTTTGTTTGCCTCTCCACTTCTGTTATTCACATAGAAATTGTGACAGATTGTACAACTGAAGCTTTTATATCCGTTAAAGAGGCCATATATCTGTATAAAAGATTTGCGACACGGCGTGCAGTTTGTGCCACGATTGCACAGCGATTGTGGCACAAATTTTATTGGAGCAGAAGAATTGAGCAACAAGAATTGAGAAGACGCTTTAGCTCCGCGAATGAATTAAGGGAGCTGACTTTCGTTCTTGGAATGATCCAATCATGGAACGAAGACGCTTCATTCCCCTGACTGCGCCTCATTTTGGGCAAATGGGAAGCCGCGACGAAATTTTACCTACGTTGTACCATTGGCGATACTATACTCACGTATGAGAAATTTTCCATACTTACGCAGATCGAAGCCCTCCTGACTTCTCGGCCTCTCTGTCCAATGACGGAAGACGCTGAGAATTATATGGCCTTGACACCTGGACCTTCTTCGGCAAACCATCTACCGTGATTCCAGAGCCAAATTTCAGCGATCAGCCAAATTCTCGCTTAACTCGATGGCAACTCATTCGACAAAAAGTTGAGCACTTCTGGAAGCGACGGCAGCTAAAATGCCTTCAACGGTATCAAATCATTTCGAAGTGGCATCCATCAAATTAGGTTTCCTGGTTCTCCTCGTCGATGAGAGGTATCCTCTAGGCGCGGATTCTGCACTCTGATAAAGATGGATTGATGAGGGTTGTTCGGATTGCTACCACTACTTACAAGCGATTTATCATCAAGATATGCATATTATCTATTAATCAGGAGCAGCCAACATTCGGAAATTCTATTTTCGAAGCGATAAAAGTACGAAAGAGCGCGCTCCGAGCGCTTCCGTCGCGCTTCTACGCATCTCCGTGATGCATACCTCTCTCAGTATCCCCTTTTTTTCTTTCTCTTAAAAGAAGAAGGTGCATGCTGCATCGGATCCGCCATCTGTGTGAGCTGAACCCGGTGTATTTTGAGAGAACGGCTCGAGGTATTATTTTGAGAAAGAGGCATGACAAATAAGACTGTGAGAATCGCGTCTATTAATCCCTTGAGAAAAAACTTATTCTCGCTTGCTGATTCGCTCAAGTAAGAAGGGTCGAGGCGTCTCTAGGCGATCAGCGACACGACGCTAATTTGCATTTGCAAAAACAATCAGGCCTTTGACTTTGCAATCATCGGATGTCGTCTCAGGCTGTGGATTGCTCTCATATGAGCGTTCGATGATCGGATGGGCTATCACACGATTCGCTTTGGATAACCACCGAACTCATTGCAGTGCGTCATTCTTTCTGTCTTTATCTTTTGAGTCTGACGAACGATCTCAGGCGGTGTCTTGCAAACACTAAATGTGGCTCCCGATGATGGCTCGGGCAAAACTTTATCTATCTATTTAGTCTATATCTAGCCTGGGGATGACGAGTATCGCGTATCCACTCGAAAAATTACTCGAGGCTCGTAAAAGTCTCGCGGCACAAGGAGGATGAACTCTCCATCCCTCCCTCTTATATTGCTACCATGACGCTTGATTCCAATCTAACGTGTTGTAAATTTGCTAAAACCATAGAAGATTTCGAATCGTTACGTTCGACGAGTGTTTGTATCAATGATTTAAAAAATATATAGTGTGACATTAAAAAGATCACTTTCAATTTGCCTTCGAGGCATATCCTTTTCCACCAAATCCTATAATTCATTGTGATAACCAAACATACTCACTTGTAACAAAATTTTGGTAATAATGAACTAATAATTGCACGGATGCGCCAGCTGGATAATAAGATAATATTTCCGGTAATGCCGTCTGCAACAAATAGTTATTGAAAACAATTTAGATTTGTCATTAAAATAATATACAAAAATTGTTTGAAAAGATCGTTTTTTGAGCCTTAACATGAAAATAGCATTACGTCAAAACCATTCTGATACTACAATCGTATATGCTTTGAAAGACCTGTGAAAATTGCCATTGTGGAGCCAACGCTCAGTTGATGACAATCAATCGATATCAGTATTGTTGTAAAAATGGAAAAAAATCGACGATCGCCATAAATTTACAAATTGCGGTTCGAATTGATTAATTATCTACTGTATCCATCAGCTCTCTAATGACTTCTTCTTGTTTTTGTTAGGCTCAAAAATAAGCTCAGAGGACAGATTTTCATCAAACGAAAACACTGATATTGATTGATCACAAATGACTCTCAAACAACAACTAGCGTTCAAAATGGCTACAATTTTCGCAGATATTTTGTGAAATATGTACGATTATAGTACCGAATGGTTTTGACGAGTAATGCCATTTTCATGTTGAAGCTCAAAATTTTTCAAATGATCATCGTACAGAGAAATATATAGGATTTTGTAACTTTTAAAGAATATAAAGCAGTGGCAATGTTGTAATTAGCAAAATTGTACTAAGTTGATAACATACAGTATTAAGTTGCGCAGGATTGGATCCGCAAATTAAAAATAATAGTGCGATACAGACGGCCTGAGTAATTGTCTTATCTGCACATAGTGTTCTTGCTAACGTTATAGTCGTTGATGATAAGGAAGCTATTTCATATATTTCATTAGACTGAAGAAATTCCTAATGAACAAATATAATCATAAATATCAAAAATGTGAATACAAAGATTGTAATAAAAATATAATATGATATAAAAAGAAAATATAATATTAAAGCAATTACATATTAGCTTCAAAACTATTTATATAATTAAAATAAAATAACATAACGAGAGTTTTACAATTATTGAAATGAACAAAAGAGACATAGTAATGTTTCAGCGCTAAGAAAACGAGTAGCGTTTTAGCGCGAGATAGTACGATATCTATACGCGGAGCGGTGAGATTTTTGAGTTCTCGATTACTGTATGTAATACAAAAAATTAATATGTACGGTAGATGTGATCTTTTTATTAAACATTTTAATCAAAATTGAAATTTTATTCTTTAATAATCAGCCATAAAGTTGCAATAAAAATTTTGTAAGAGAATATCAAATATTTAAAAAAATGTTTATGCATAATATTATAAAAGATAAAATCTAATTTAATAATCTATTTATAATAGCTTCTACATAATTTTATTAATTATGGATATTAATAATGAATATTTTAACAAAAGAATTATGATAATAAAAAATTATTTTTCCATTAGGATAATATTAATTAATACAAAATTTATATGTTAAATATACTTTTATATCTTAAAGTACGATTTGGATAGCTCTTTACAATCTTTACCTCAAAAAATTTCAATACGTTATATGTATGCAAATATTCCACAAGAATAGGCATTTCATTCGACATAGCGATCGGAGCAAAACAGATTCCCAATTTTATTTTTGCATTGTATTCTGGTTTTGTGGATAGTAAAGTAAAAATATGGTAGTTCCCATCGAAAAACCGATATAACGCAGAGATTTTTGTTTTGTATTACTAAGCACATAATCAATCATAGCTGGCAGATTCCTCGTTCCTATCTCATGATAGCTAGACAGCAATAATACACTCTAAATCTGTAGCAATGAAAATTTTACTGCTAACAAAAGTGAGGAAACTCATTGCTTTAAGTGTGGATTTTCACTTTGAGTTAGTCTGTCTACTCTTATATAAAGGACTGGACTATTTCATTCGATTAATCGAAGTTCAAGCATTAGTTGATAATGCATTGCAAGATGCATTGAATGCAAGAAGTAAATTTAGCGACATAGTAGCGCATCGTATATTTGTCGTTTATCAAGGTCGTTACGGGCGAGACGCATCTTGAGACACATAAATATAAGAGACAGAATAAAATAATTAAAAATAAAATAATAATAATTAAAAATAAGGTTAATAGATTAATAGATTGATAGCATGCTCTGTTCAAAATCTATCTCCGTAGACTTTGTTATCTGAATTTGGAATGATTCTATCATTATTTTAACCTCCAAATTCATTTCTTTTTTGGATTAAATTTTTCACTCTAATTATTGAATGATTTTTTCATTCCCATCTTGTAATAAAATTCACTGACAATAACATTACTACTAATGCCTGTATTAAAATTTTAATAATGCAGTGAAATTTCATTGCTACAGATTTAGAGTATAAATTTTATTTTTTTATTACTATATCTTTATAATACTACAAAATCGAATATTTGGTAAAAAATTTGTAACTTAGTTTGGTTTTTTTCTTAATAAAAATATCGATATACAGTACGTCTTTGCACAATATTATGAATTTTTTTATTTAAAAATTTTTTATTAAAAAATTGATTTTATTTAGAATTTTTAAGAAAAACTGATTTGAATTAAATAAAATATGAGAAATAAGAAAAAGATATATTTAAATAACAAAAAATTGAGATAATAGAAAATCAAAACAAGAAATATTTTTTTTAATAATACTTGCAAAATATTAAAGATTTACCTATATTGCCAAAAGTCTCGATCTCGTGAAGATAATTTTATATGTGATCTGCAATAAGTATTTCCTCTGTAATTTCCGAGCCATATATCATATCCTTCATTAGCCAACAAAAATGCTGAAATAGTGACGTTAATTTTCTTATTATAATATATTACCGAATTAAGTCATTATTTCTAATAAAAATTCGATCATTTTCTCTTTATCAAGACATACATTTATTCTGATAATTTTCTATTAGACATATTTTATTTATTCCAATAAATATTATCTGTTTTTTCAAAATATATAATATTATCCAAAATACATTGTTTTATATGTATGTATATGGAATGTGGATATGCAATCTGCACGCGGAATATATGTATTAAATAAAAAGAAAGCACAATTGAAAAAAGATTGGAAAATTATGGTGCGCGAAGTATTATTAGATATATATGATTCAAACATTGCGAATTATTCAGCTACTGGAAAAAGAACAAATAGACCTGCAATTGATCATATGTTATTTAAAGGATTGGTAAATATTTTAATACATTTAGCATTCGCATATTCTATAATATTTTAATTTATTCTGTTATATTGATTTGATTATTACGTCAGACTTGTTTGTGACTAGATTTTTGCCGATATATGGCGGCGAATTAAAGTACTAATTAAAAAAATAAGAAGCAAAGAACTCGAGTGTTAAGCAAAGATGATTGCTCATAAGTCAGTTAAAAATCATCGTACCGCAATTTAAAAAAACAGATTCTTAAAGCCAAAATTTTAAATGTATTGATTGATACAATTGTCAATTTTCTAAAAAATAGAACATATAAATTTAAATTAAAATTAAATTAAAAATTCATTATACTTTCCTTCTAACTATTACATAAAATACTTAAAAGGACAGTAATATTACATTTTTAATTCAAATTTATATATAATATATTCTACGTTTAAAAAATTGGCAATTATACCTTTTGATAAAGCAAAATTCTAGTTTTAAGAATCTGTTTTTTTTTTAAATTGCGGTACAATGATTTTTAACGGAGTTATAAGTAATTTAAAATTAGAATGCTCTTTTTATTTAACTCGTAAATAATTCAATGACAAAAATATATAGAAATCTTTTTTAAAAACGCATTTTTACGAAAAATTTTAAGCTTTCATGTTAGATATTAAAAAATTTCGCAATAAATATATTCTATATAATAAATTCTATATATAATATTGAGCTAAAACATCGCACAAACTTTCTGGCCAACTCAACAGATAAAATATTGACTTTCTTAGAATGGATAAACATACAAGATAATACTGTTACAAAGAAAGAATTAATTGATTTTATTAATAAAATGGCTTCGAACAAAAGAAAATACCGAAAGACAAATAAATCAGGAATAGAAATAAAAAAATTAAAAAGAAAAACGGGAAATCAAGACATATTACGAATTATTAACAACGTAAGAAATAATGAACTTATGAATAATAACTTCCAAAATTACAAAATTGCAAAGAATACTAATAATGAAACAATTCTCTCTTCCTCCACGAATACAAGTGATAAAAAAATTTTTTGAACAAAATAAATTAGAAATTATTGGATCGTAACAAAAGTTTATATTGCTATAAAAGTTATAATAAAATTCAAACAGTAATAACTTGGTTAAAAATAAATAAAATTAAATTTCAAAAATTAATTTGTATAAATTTAAAATTCTCTTCTTTCATTATTTCTTTTGAATTTTTGTGAATTTGTTCTATCGAAACTTTAAAATCTTACTTTTTTGAAATTTTGCTCTCTTGAACAGTATAATTGCCAAATTTTTTAAAAATATATAAATATATAAAAATATATAAATAT